CTCCCCAGAGCCATCTCTAAGCGAAGACCCCTAAGGCCACATCCAGCAAAGGGTCAACAGGGACCTCACTGGGTCCTTTGGACAATCTGAGTCCTTCCAGCTCAGTCTAGGAACAGCTCAGGATAATTCTGCTCCGTGGCTGATTTTTGGGCATCAATGTATGTTTTTGCAGATTCCAACCCCTTGAAAATGTTTTCTTGGCTCTCCATCCCTTCCCATAGGGAGGTTTGTGGCTTTTCTGCCTCTGGTCAACTCCAGGATGTTCAGAAAACCTCCTGCAATGAATAGACCCAGAGCCCAGTGCTGTGCCTCACTCATCTTTCCAGCCAGGACACTTGAGGCAGAGCTGGCAGGGGCAGGAAAGGTGGTTAGGACCATTGTTTCCCATTAAAGGAGTTTATTCCCATGACTTTATGTTCTCCATGCCCACAAGGACTTCCCAAATGAAATATTTCCTTGCGGTTTTGCTCCTTAAATTAGTTTCTCTGTGTCTCCAGTGCCAGTCCAGGAGGTGGTGCCTCGTGGGTAGGTGAAATTGAGGTTTCATGGCTTTCCTGGACCAGTCTGTGGTCAGTGACTTCCTCTGTGATGAACTCGAGAGGATGAGCTGGTGGATTCCATCCACTGGAGACCTCCTGCCTGGCCATGGGGTGCGATTTGTGCCAGAATATTTCCTTGCTGGTTTTGCTCCTTAAATAAGTTTCTCTGTGTCTCCAGTGCCAGTCCAGGAGGTGGTGCCTCGTGGGTAGGTGAAATTGAGGTTTAATGGCTTTCCTGGACCAGTCTGTGGTCAGTGACTTCCTCTGTGATGAACTCGAGAGGATGAGCTGGTGGATTCCATCCACTGGAGACCTCCTGCCTGGCCATGGGGTGCGATTTGTGCCAGGGCAGCTGCTCCTCTACAAAACACCCCAAGGCAAGGTCTTTGCCAGCCCAAGAGCTGCTTGAGCAAATCAGTCAGAGCCTCCGGGAGGAACCTGAAGGTTCTGAGTCCCTGGAGGATCCGAGTCCCTTGTGCTGCTCTTACTCAGCCATTATTTTCATGCCTCTGTGAGCTGCTGATAGTGGGAAACGGTTTTTTAAACGGTTTTATCTCAGTCAGAAACTTCCTGAGAAGGAAGGAGAAGGTCCTGCAAGATGTCAGGCGTGGCTTTGTGGCTTTTCAGTGTAAGAAAACAAACCCAAGGGAGGTCTCAGAGCTCAGCTCTGCTGAGAAGTGCTGGGAAGGGACTTCACCCTTCACTCCCTCGTGGTGCCCCAATCTGGTTTTAAACAGTGGAGTCACCATCCCTGGAGTGTTCAAAGATGTGGCACACAGTGCTCTGCTCTAGTTGACAAGGTGGAGATCAGGCGCAGGTTGGACTTGATGATCTTGGAGGTCTTTCCCAGCTCGTGAGTTCCTGCTCCATCAACTCCACCCCAGTAGGGCTGGAAGGAGCTCTCTGAAGGTTACAGCCCCAAGAAGATGGAAAAAGATGGGAAATTCTTGCCTTGGTGGTGATTTTAAGGACCTCCACTTGCGGTACAGCTCTAAATCGATGCTCCTCTTCCTCCTGCAGCTCTTCACCACCATCACCACGGAGGCAAATCTCACTGCTTTGAATAGTTTCCACTCATGAAAAGAAGAGGCCCAAACAGACAACTTTGCGCAAAAAAACCCCAACAGGAAGCACATGGCCCAGGGCAGAGCTGCTGATTTGAGTATACCTGTTCCTGTAATGAGCTCTGAGGTTGTTGCTCAGCCCAAGGCAGCAGTGACACCAGAAATGGGCTGCAGAGTGTGTCTCTGGCTGCTGACAGCTCTCGCTGCTCTCTGGGGTATGTATGGATTTTCCTCTCTGGAATGCTCAGGTTGGAATGTTTGGGGATGTTTGGGTCAGCTCTTAAGCCCTTTGGAAATGAGGAGCTGTGTGCTGGGCAGAAATACTCACCCAGAAGGGAAATGGCTCGTGGTGTCGAGGGATGTGAGGTGTATCCCTGATCCTCTCCTGCACATCAGGAGGAGAGAACAGGAGGTGAGGATTGAGCCAAGGCAGCAGTGGAGCAATCTGAGGGGGTTGATGGGGATTTAATAGCTCTGAGCAAATAATTTCATGTCAGGGATTGGGGCACTTGAGGAGAAGGTTCCTGGAGGACTGAGTGTGATGCTGAGTGTCTTGGGCTGAGTCAGTGGGTTGGAGATGGTACCCAAGCAACTAAATCAGAGAATCAGGGAATGGGTTGGGATGGAAAGACCTCAAAGCTCATCTCATTCCACCCCCTGCCATGGGCAGGGACACCTTCCACTGCAGTGGGGGCAATGCCTTATTTCTGTGTGCCTGGAGAGAATACCCCTGGGGGAATGTGGGTGAGTTAAAATCCCCTCCAGAGCTGCCCAGGCTGCTGGTCATGTCCTCCCAGCCCATCAGTGGAAGATGCTGCAAAACCAGTTGGTCTTTGGTCTGTGCAAAAAGCACCAGAGGAGTGAGGACACCTGAGTGGAGGAGAGAAAAGCAGCTGTGACCAAACCTGAGCCTCCCTTGGTGCCAGCCTGATGTTCAGTGCCCTTCCCTTGGGGTGCTGTGTCCCCCCACGGCCCCAGGTGTGAATTCCCAGGTGTGAAATGAGAAGCTCAGCCAGGAAACCGAAGATTTCAGCAGAGCAGAGATTTCTCTTCAGCTCTGCTGCCTCACTCTTACCAGAACTCCTGCCCTTAAAATCCCCCTGGGATTTTCTGCAAGTCCCAGGAGAGGCCAGAACCAGTGGGAGGGCTGCTTGGGACCTGCTGCTGTGCCAATGCCAATATCTCACCTTCCTCCATACAAAAGAGATCTGAAGCTGTTGGAGAACATCCAACGGAGGCTACAAAGATGATGATGAAGGGTCTGGAGGGGCCATACAAGGAGAGGCTGAGGGTCCTTGGCTTGTTCTTCCCCCAGAGGTGTTTGGGCCCTGGAACAACTCCCCAAGGACAGTGGTCACTGTCCCAAGCCCGACAGAGCTCCAGGAGTGTTTGGCCAATGCCTTCAGGGGTGTGTTGGGATTGTTGGGGCTGTGCAGGGCCAGGAGTTGGACTTTGATGATCCTTGTGGGTCCTTCCAGCTCAGGAGACTCCATAATTCTATGACTCTATGATTTATCCCTCTGAGCTTCAGCACGGCTGATTCCAGCCCTTTTCTCATCCCTCCTTCTCCAGCTTTGCTCCACCCAAGTTCTCTGCCCATGCAGGAGCTGCTGCTACTTGCCAGGGCAGAGAGTTTTTCTGACCCTGAGGGAAAAAGGGCGTTTCCAGACTACGGCCTGCCAGAAAATGTGCCTTGCTGAGCACAACCAGTACCTTCAGCCCTTGGCATGTTGGGCTTTCCAGCTGCTGTCCTGGCACAGCGTTCCTGGGGCACCTTGCAGCTGGACCACAGTGTTCCTGTGGGATGTTGGCTGTGCTGGGCTTGTTCTGGGGTGATGGAGCCCACAGGGATGGCTCCAACTGCTGTGTTTTGTGCCGTGGAGGAGTGGGAAAAGAGGTGGTGGGGAAGCATTTTCTCTGTGGGTTTTACTGGACCCGTGTGCTCTGCAGAAGAGGAGGATTTGGGGTTGGTCTGGGCCTCCCCAGACCTGTTCTCGTGGGGTAATTCTCCTTCTTTCCTTTTCCACTCTGGGCCAAAAGCTCCCCACGATGGAAAGAAGCCGTTAGGAAACCTGGGGGTGGCACCACAGGGTCCCTTCCATGCTCCCACTGCTGGTGCTGAGCTGGCACCTCCTCCCACGCTGTTTCCTATGAAAACAAACTTGTTTGCCCAGGGATGGAGGAAAATCTGAATCATTTGCCTTGAAGGAAAGGTTGAAGGGTCTGGGGGAGAAGGTCCTCCCCCATGTTCACCTGGAGCTCTGGGTGGGTGGAAGATTCACTTGTCTTCTTAAGAGCACTTTTCCAAGAAACACACCTGGGATCACCTCAGCCAGGAGAAGGATGAGCTGGGATTTATACCTGACCCCACTCTCAGGTGGCTGAGCACAGAATCGTGGAATCACTGAGTTTGGAAAAGACCTCCAAGGTCACAGAGCCCAACCTGTGACCCATCATCTTGTCAACTAGCCCAGAGCACTGAGTGCCACATCCAGTTGTGCCTTGAACATCTCCAGGGATGGTGACTCCACGACCTCCCTGGGCAGCACATTCCAGTGTCTGGACCTGGAGCAGCTCTGCTATGAGGAAAGGCTGAGGGAATTGGGATTGTTCAGCCTGGAGGAGAGAAGACTCTGGGGTAACCTAAGCTGAGGGAAATTGTTCAGCCTGGAGGAGAGAAGACTCTGGGGTAACCTAATTGTGGCCTTGCAGTGCCTGAAGGAACCATGAGAAAGATGAAGATAACTCTTGACAAGGCCCTGGAGGGACAGGGCAAGAGGCACTGGCAGAGAGGAGGGTTAGGTTGGGTCTTGGGGAGGAACTCTTGGCTGTGAGTGTGGTGAGGCACTGGCACAGGGCTGAGAAGGTTGGGCTGGGGACTGGGGCTGGGTAACCTAATTGTGGCCTTGCAGTGCCTGAAGGAACCATGAGAAAGATGAAGATAACTCTTGACAAGGCCCTGGAGGGACAGGGCAAGAGGCACTGGCAGAGAGGAGGGTTAGGTTGGGTCTTGGGGAGGAACTCTTGGCTGTGAGTGTGGTGAGGCACTGGCACAGGGCTGAGAAGGTTGGGCTGGGGACTGGGGCTCTCCCTGTTGGTTCTGGGGATGGTCCTGGGGCAGAGCTCTTGCTGAGCACCACAGAGTGACTTAAGCTCCCACCCTGCAGCTGCTGCTGGTGCAGGATGTGGTGGATGACCTGAGCTTGCAACTGCAATTATATAACCTCCTCACTCCTCAAACCATTTCTCTCATGTAACCCAACCCTCTCTCAGGCTGTGGCTTACCAGGGTGTGTCCAAATTCCCCTTGATCCTTGAAGATTCCCCCCCAGGATGAGCAGGGAGATGGTCAGTATGAGCTTTCCTGCTGTTTCATCCCTTCTCCATCTCTCCTCCAGGCATGGGCCACGGGACAAGGGAGACAGTGCTGGGCACCCTGGGGCAGGTGACAATACTGCAGGTCCCTCACAAGTTCCAGGAGATGACCAAGGACTCTGGGCAAGCCTACTGGAAACGGGACACAGAGGACCCCCAGAGCAAGCAAGTCCTGGTCAAGTACTTTCCTAACAACTGCACCAACTTCGTGAAGGACCAAATGCACTTCCACAAGTCTGACTTTTCCCTGGAGATCCTCAACACCAGCAGGCAGGACCAGCAGCTCTACGAGTATGGGGTCAGCCAGGGCTCCAAGGAGAAGGTCTGGCAGGTCCAGCTGAAGGTGTTTGGTGAGACACTGCTCTGGGAGGATCATGCTGGATATTCCCAGCGTGGCAAGAGGTCTGGGAGGTGGGTGGTGGCTCTGGGAGGACCATGCTGGATGTTCCCAGCTCTGACAGGTCAGGGAGGTGGGTGGTGGCTCTGGGAGGACCATGCTGGATGTTCCCAGCTCTGACAGGTCAGGGAGGTGGGTGGTGGCTCTGGGAGGACCATGCTGGATGTTCCCAGCTCTGACAGGTCAGGGAGGTGGGTGGTGGCTCTGGGAGAACCATGCTGGATGCTCCCAGCTCTGGTGGTTCTGGGAGCAGGTCTGGGAGGTGGGTGGTGGTCTAGGATGCCCACCCTGATGTCAAAGGTGGTGCAGTGAGCCAACCCTCTCTACCTCTCTCCAGAGCCAGTGTCTGAGCCCAGGGTTCAGATCCTCAGCAGGACAGTGGCAAATGGCACCTGCACCATCACCCTCAACTGCACAGCAGAGCGAGGGGATGATATCTGCTACAGCTGGGGACAGCTGGGCAGCAGGGGCAGCAGCACCTCAGGGCTCTGCTCCCACAACAGCAGCTTCCTGCACCTCTCCTATGCCCTGGAGAACACGAGTATCTCCTGTGTCTGCACTGCCAGCAACCTCGTGAGCCGCCGAGCTGTCACCTTCAACTCCTCCCAGTGCAGCTACGAGCAAGGGGGTAGGTCCCTCAGTTCCAGAGTCCCAGAGCAGTTGGGGCAGGAAGGAACCTCTGGAGACCATCCAGTCCAACCCCTGCCCAGGCAGGGGCACCTGGAGCAGGTGACACAGGGATGTGTCCGGGTGGGTTTGGGATGTCTCCAGAGAGAGACTCCACACCCTCCATGGGCTCCTGTCCCAGGGCCCTGCCACCTCAGGTTGAGGTGGAACTTTTTGTGGTTTAGTTTCTGGCCATAACTCCTTGTGCTGTCACTGGGCAGCACTGGGAAGAGTCTGGTACCATCCTGACACCCCTTGGAGAGGTTTGTGGGGATTGAGGGGGTCTTGGCTGAGAGATTGGCATGGATTGATGAGATCCCCCTCAGCCTTCTCCTCTCTGGACCCACCAGGTCCCCAGCTGCCCACCCAACTCTCTCCAACCTCCCAGTTCTGCTCTTGCTTCGCAGGGACTTTCTCACTGTGTTTTTGTCAACCTCTAAGGGGCTTCTTACAAGAAAATCAGCTGCTGTGTCACCTGCTCAGGGTCACCAGGTCCTTCCCACAAGCACCAGCCACAGAGCTGTGGGTCTCACCTGCCTCCCCAGCCAGCCCAGCCCCTGCCCTGGCCACATCCTGGTCCTCCAGGCATGAAATGCCTGAAACTCATACTCTGGGTGGTTTGGAAGGGTCAAAAACCTCAGTGACAACTTCTGCTTCGCAGGCTCTTGGGGCAATAGTCACAGTCTGTCTCTGGGAGTTTCTTGCTCTCCCTTGTGACATGGGGGGACTTTTGTTGCAGTGGGTGATGTGTTTTCTGCCCCTTTTCCCAGGGAGGCTGAGATGAGGTCACACCTCTGCTGGGGCTCTCGCTGTGACCAGTGCTCAGAAGAGCTCCCCGAGGCAGAAGTGCTTGAGACCCACTTAGGGAAAGCAGAGGCTGAAATGAGATTTTCCAGGGGAGTTTTAGGCTTGTTTCTCGCCCCCTCGTGCTGTGGGACACTCCTGTGTGGTGTCACTGTCACCAGAGCCCAGATGGAGCTGCAGAGCTCTGGCCCTGAGGTCTCAGGGGGGTGACAAAGTGGCTGCCTCCCCCCCAGATCTCCACGAAGCCACCAGAGAGAGTTTTAGGGCTTTGGCTGGCCCCAGTCCACCCCTCCCAGCAGGTTTTTAGCTGCCGTTGCTCAAGAGAAGCATTTCCTGCCCTTGTTTCCTGTGCTATTAAACCCATCACCTGGAGGTGATGAGAAGAAGAAAGACTTTAGCAGCTCTTTCTGCTCGGCTCTGGGTTGGTAGGTGACCCCCAGGACCCCAGGGCTGGCAGGTGACCACATCCCCTCTCTGTCCCCTACAGCAGGCAGTGCTGGGCTGAGGACAGAGCTGCTGGTGCTGCTGGTGGTGGCTGTTGTTGTCATCGTGGTGGTTGTGCTCGTCGGTGCCTTCAAGATCACCAGCCTGGCCAGGCACAAGGGTGAGTGTTGCCAGGGAGGGTGCTGGGGTGGGTGGTGGGATGTGGGTGGGCTGAGCCAGCCCCAGAGGATCTGATCCCTGTGGGAAGAGCTGTCAGGCAGTGGAATGTGCTGCCCAGGGAGGTGGTGGAGTCACCAGCACTACAGGTGCTCAGGGAACGAGTGGATGTGGCACTCAGTGCTCTGCTCTAGTTGATAAGGTAGAGATGGGTCAGAGATTAGACTTGATGGTCTTGAAGGTCTTTCCCAACCTCAGTGACTCTGTGATCCCTTCACAGCTAACCAGGAGCCTTTACCAGCCGCCATGGACAATACTGTGCACACCATCTACTCCCAGGTGCAGCGGGTGGAGGTGAGCCATGACCAACCTGACCCTGACTGGCCTCAGCACAGGGGGAAAAAGATTCTTTTAATAAGGGAGAACCTCCTATGGAAAACCTCCTCTAGCAATGGAAAACCTCCTGTAGCAATGGAGAACCTCCTTTAACAAGGGAAAACCTCCTGTAGCAGTGGGAGCCCAAGTGCTACAGCTGAGGGGAGTGTGGGCATGACTCCACAGGGTCTCTTGGGTGAGGGTCTCTGGTGGAAGCAGCACCCAGCCCCCCCCAGGTCATGGCGGTGTCTCCTCCGTGACACCCTCTGCGCTGGGCTTTGGCCACTGGGTGTCAACACAGCCCCATGGGTGAGCAGGGAGAGGGTGACATTGTGGCCAGGGGTAGGGGAGGACTGGGGGTCACCCATCCCTGCTGTCCCAGGAGTCATCCTGGTCGCTGTTAGTTTGGGAATCCCTGGGATAAAGTTGGATGCTGCAGCTTCCCAAGCCTTTAGCATCCCGGGGGGGCTTAGAGCGTAGCGTGTGGTTTTCCCCCTCCCTGAGTGCTGATCAGGGCAAACTGGGGAGGAAACAGTGGGTGGAGGGAGGGAAGGGCCCCGTGGGGACCTGCCTGGCACTGCTCATCCTTCACCCCCACGCAGAAGCCGAAAGAAGCCCCCAGTGCCACCCCCATGTCCTGCACCACCATCTATTCTGCTGCCAGCAGCCTCCCCACGGCCCCTGGCACTGCCCCTCGGCCCCCACCAGCGGCTCCCACCCTGCAGGGACACCCACCCCTCTCCCAGGTAAGGCTGAGCCCCCTCACCCTGGCTGGGCATCACCGTGGGGCAGCCCATGGCACCTCACCCACCCCGTCCCCCTGCTCTCTGCTGCAGAGTCCCCCCAAGGAGCCCATGACGGTTTACGCCAGTGTGACGATGCCCACGGCCTGAGCCTTTGGCCCAGCCTGGCCTCTGCCCTGCCTGTGGGCACCAAAATCCCTGTTCCTGGCTGGATTCACCCCTGGGGAATCAGGGCAGAACCCTCTGGTGTGTGTGTGTGTGTCATGCCCAGCTCGGTGGTGATGGCAACTGGAGAGGTGAGGGCTGGCCAAAGAAGAAGCAGAGTTGGTGGTGGTGGCAACTGGAGAGATGAGGGCTGGCCAAAGAAGAAGCAGAGTTGAAACGTGGCAAGAAACCTCTCCTGCCTGTGCCTGAGGGCTCCTGGCAGGATCCTGGAGAAGCAGGAGAGGGAAGAGAGGGTCTGGATCCGACCTCACAGCTGGGCATGAGCGAGGGAGTGACTCGGCGCCGTGGAGAGGAAGGGTCAGTCCATCGGTGCCACTGGAAGGTCTCATAACCTCAACAGAACTCAGGTGGTTTAGTTGATCTCATGGACCGTGGCAAAGGGGGAAAGGAAAATAAACACAGAGTGAAGCCTTCCGGGAAGGATTTCTGGGGGAATGTCACAGGATGGGTCAGGCTTTGGAGGGGGGAACAGAAACCCATGGGTTTGCACCTCCACAGCTTCCCATTTCTGTGCCTACAGAGAATCTGCTGAGCTGCTTCCCTGGAAAAGTCTGTCCACAGAGCAACCACTTCCCTCAGGAGTGTGGACAGGTCCCAGGAAGAGCAGGTCACACTTCCCCTTGTGTCTCTCAGATGGTGCAGAATCCCCAAACTCTGTCCCTGGCACCCAGTGCCCTGTGCCACCCTTGGGGGGCCTTGCAGAAGAATGTGCCCCCTGTGATGTGCCACCCCACGTGTCCCCAGACCTCACTGCCAGTGCCAGGGGACAGCAGAGTCTCCACAGGAGTGTTGCCAGCAAAAATGGGACCTGTTTTCCAGGGTGCAGCAAGCCAATGATTCCACACTCGAGGAGACATTGGCTGTTGAATGGCCTCAGGGCTGCACAAGCTCAGGAGCTCTGTGGTGTTTCCTGAGCCCACCACATCCCACTGGATGTTCCACGTTGTTATTCAGGGTCAGGAACTTTGCACAGGATCATTGAGGTTGGAAATGACCTCCAGCAGGGGCAGGGGGTGGGGTGGGATGAGCTTTCAGGTCCTTCCAGCCCAAACCGTTGGTCCCATGGCTCTAGCAGAGGATGGTGACCAGGAGGAGCTGTTGGAGCTCGGTGGAGTTGAGTTGCTGCTTTGCTGTTGAGGCTGCTCAGGGGTCCCTGTGCCCATGTGCCCTGTCCCCCACCCCCCCAGCAGCACTGCCAGGCACCAGCAGCCTCTGCAGAGGAACCAGAGCTGGTGCCACACACTTCCCCCACCCCACATGTCCTGCAGCTTCCCATAATAACCCCAATTAGGGAAGTGTCCCCTTGTTTGGCTGTTGTTCAGCTCTCCTGTCTAGGGGGTGGAGTTGGAGTGGGTGGAGAGTCTGAACTCAGCATCCCACCTAAAGGACACCTTGGAGACTTCAGTCCATGGGCACCAGCTCCTGAGCCCTGACCCCCGTGGTCTCCTCAAGCTAGTCCCCACAGAGGACCTGGGGCACTTGTCATACATGGCCACAATGCTCTTTATCCCAACTGTCACACTCATTTCTGCTTGGAAATGGAGTTTTCCACCTGAAGTTGTGGATGCTCCAAGCCTGGCAGTGTTCACAGCCAGGTTGGCTAAAGCCTTGAGCAACCTGCTGTGGTGGGAGATGTCCCTGCCCAGGGCAGGAGGTTGGAACTAGGTGATCTCTAAGGGTCCTTCCAACCCGTGGTCACACTATGACTCTATACTCAAGTTTCTACGATGTGAATTTGACTTTGACATGTTCCTCCTGATATCACGGAGACGTCAAGAGCTGCATGAAGCACAACTCCCTTCACCACCCAACCACGAGTGGAAACCCTTGCGCACGCGCAGACACTTGCGTCTTGCCACCACACTAGCTCGCAGATGTTTGGTGCAGAAAACCTCTCTCTGCACACCACAGGCTGATGGATGTGTTTTGGTTCCTGCTGCTCACCCTCCTCTTCCTCCTTCGGCTTCAAGACGGTAAGTGCAAGGTGCTTCTTCTTCTCCCTTGGCAGCAGAAAGAAGGAGCCCATGGGGGTCTCAGGGTGGGTTGGGGACTCTGGAGGGACTGGGTGCCTGTGGGAGCAGGGATGGAATTTGTCCCAGGGATGTTGTGCCGTGGCCTCTTGCCCTCATGGTCCCTCTGAGGAGTGATGGTGCAGGTCTCAGCTCCATCCAGCTGTGCTCCTGGTGTCCTGCTCTGGGGGCAGGTTCTGCTCCCCTGCCATGATAACTCCGAGTTTGCAGTTTCTGTGGTTTCCCCTTGGGGTATTTTTGGGCTGTTTTCGCTCCAGGGGAAATGGGCAGAGCTGTGTCCTCCTCACAGCTTCGAGGCGTTTATCTCTGAGCGTTCAGTGCCCTCAGCATTTGCTGCTCCACCAAATTTCCTGTGTATTTATCTCCCAAGTAGTGTTTTCTTCCATGTTCTGCATGTCCCTGAGAGAGGGAACTAGGGATGGGGAGCCTTGTGGAGCTATGGCAACCTCATGGTCTGGCAGGACCAGTTCCCTTCCAGGGGACTAGGGGAGAACATTCTTCCTCAACCCAAACAGGGAAGCAGCGATTTCTCAAGTGGGAAGTGGCAAAATTGAGAAGGAAACTCTTCCTCCTTCCTCCTGAGTGCACCCTCAGTGAGCTGGTGATGACACCAGGCTGTGTGGTGGGGTCACATGCTGGAGGGGAGGGATGGATCCAGATGGACCTGGATGTGCTGGAGAGGTGGAGAGGAGACCCCAACTGGAATGCTGCATCCAGTTCTGGTGTCCCTAGCATAAGAAGGATGTGGAACTGTTAGAGCAAGTCCAGAGGAGGCACCAAGATGGTTAGGGGGATGGAGCAGCTCTGCTGAGAGGAAAGGCTGAGAGAGTTGGGGCTGTTCATCCTTGAGAAGAGAAAGCTTTGGGGTGACCTAATTGGAACCTTCCAGGACCTGAAGGGGCTGCAAGAAACATGGGAAGAGACTATTTCCAAGGGCCTGGAGTGCCAGAATAAAGGGGAATGTCTTCAACTACCGGAGAAGAGGTTTAGGTTGGATATTAGGGATGAATTGCTCCCTGTGAGAGTGGTGAGACACTGGCACAAGTTGCCCAGAGAAGCTGTGGCTGCTCCATCCCTGGGAGAGTTCCAGGCCAGGTTGGATGGGGCTTGGAGCAATCTGGGCTGGTGGGAGGTGTCCCTGCCCATGGCAGGGGGTGAGACTGGATGGGTTTGAAGGTCCCTTCCACCTTCCACCCTCACTGTGCATCCTGTCCTGGTCACCTCACCTTCAGCCCAACTTCTCTTCCCAGCACACGCCAACGAGGTGATAGTGGTGACCAGAGCCGTGGGCAGTTCTGTCACCTTCTACCCCCGGATTCCACATAAAGATGGGGGAGTGTGGAGCTTTAACAACGACCCCATAATATCTGTGTCATATGGAGATCCTCCTAGCATCACGTTTTTAGACGCCAAGTACAGGGCACGCTTCACCTTCCGTGAGAACGGTACTGCCCTCACCATCTCCCAGCTCTGCCTGGAGGACACTGGCACCTACAGCGAGAAGGCCTCAGGGGTCAGAGCCACCTTCATTCTCCAGGTGTACAGTAAGTGCCTTTTAGCAGAGGCTTTTTGAGGGGTGGGTTGTGCTGAAAGGAGTCTCCTGACAGCCCTCCCTGCCCCCAGGAGAGCTGCCAGAGCCAGCGGTGAGTTGTGAGGTGCAGAACTGCTCGGGCAGCAGGTGCCACTATGCCCTGCACTGTGCCACGCCAGGCTCTGGCTTTGGGAACGTCTCCTACACCTGGAGCGTGGGGCACCAGCTGTGGCAGGAGGGCCCCGAGGTGCTGCTGGATGAATTTCCCTCAGATGAGCCTCCACAGCCTCTGACCTGCAGGGCAGAGAACCCTGTCAGCAGCCGCAACGTCACCCTCGCGTCGCCCGCTGAGCTCTGTGCAGGTACCCGGGGTGGGATGGGTTGGATACTGCTCTGCACAGCTCCAGCTTTTCCCCATGAGTGTGCAGAGAGGAGCACGGACCCTCTGCACCTCTCTCCTCACCTCTCTCCCTGTTCTCTCCCCTCGCTGTGCTGCCAGGACACACAACCCTCCCTCCCATCACTGGTGAGCAGCCAACACTCCTGTCTGTGTCCAGCCTTGGTCCGAAGTGTGCTTGAGGCAGCTATCCATGTCCAGCTGTCCTAGTGCCTGGGAGGGGGAGATCACCCTGGAATCCTGTCCCTGGGAGAGGGAGATCACCCTGGATTCCTGTCCCTGGGAGAGGGAAATGGGGAGCCCAAGGCCAGCATAGTCCATCTCCTCCCAAAACACCTTGTGGAGGATATTCAGGCAGTCCAGGCAGTGCCCTCAGCATCCATGTGCTGCCTTTGTCACCTGGAGAATTGAGGGATCTCAGGTGTCCCCCCAAAAGCTCCTGGTTTGGGATGGGAGCCCCAAATCCCTTTGTGCTGGAGAGCAGAGCCAAGGGCTCACTGGAGACGTGAACGTTGCTCAGTGTGCACCACCCACATGGGATTTACTCCCCCCAAAGCCACCCAGGAGGTCCCTGGAGGGCACAGAGACATTGTTGGGGTGGTTGTGAGGGGCTGGGATGAGTCTCCTGCCGCTGCTTCCGCAAAGCCTCAGCTCGTCCGTGTGTCAGACCGTGGTGCAGGGACTCGGGGCTCAGGGGGTGTGAGGCAGAGCTGTGCCAGTGTCCCTCTGCCCTAGTGCCAGCAGGAGCCAGGCAGATTTGGGGATGCTGCTACTGGACCTTCTTCTCTTGCCAGGCTCCCAGTCCAGCAGCTGGGTTGGGATCACGGCTGCAGCTCTGGTTGGAGCTGCAGTGCTCTCAGTAGTGCTTTTCTACATCATCTACTGCAAATGCAAAGGTGAGTCCATTCCCCTGTGGATGACCATCCCTGGAGCAGGAGATGGGACCTGAGAGCAGAGGACACAGCCAGCCCCAGTGCCCAGGGTTGATGCTTCTGGGGCTGCTGCTGATGGGCACCTTGTGCAACTTCTTCCCCAGGCTGTAGGATCTTCCATTTGCCTGCGGCTGAGCCTACGGACAGAGGTAGGACTTTGGGGCAGTTCTCTCTCTCCCCCTTTTTCCTGGTGGGAATAGCCTTGCTGCACTTAAGATCAGGAGGGTAATCACCCACTGTCATGGCTTGGTACCAGAGCATTCCCTGGCTGAGGGACCTTGACACTTCCATCCTTGAGGAAAGAGCAAGGGGATGATCCCAGGGGAGGCCACAGTGGCTGAAGCTGTGCTCTTCCCCGATTTCTTGCTGGAAAACCTGATGCCAGACCACCAAGAAGGAGTTGGAAGTGCAGCCCTGAGATCACCAGAGCAAGAGGGATCTGAGGGGAAACATAAGAGCTGGAAAGAGGCAACTGAGGGGGCAGAGCCAAGCCAGGAGCTCCACTCAGTGACTCTGGGTTAGTCCAGCCAAGAATCCCAGAATCTCAGGATCACTGAGGCTGGAAAAGACTTCCAAGACCATCGAGTCCAACCTGTGACCCATCACCACCTTGTCAACTAAAGCAGAGCACTGAGGGCCACATCCAGTGGTTCCTTGGACACCTCCAGGGCTGGTGACTCCACCACCTCCCTGGGCAGCACATTCCAATGCCTGACAGCACTTTCCATGGAGAAATTCCTCCTGATGTCCAACCTGAACCTGCCCTGGCATGGCTTGTGGCCATTCCTGAGAAACCCAGTGGCAGGAAAGACCACTGGAACCATTCCCACCTCCTGGATGTCCCAGGCCATCCCTGCTACAACTGAGCCAATGCCCAGCCGAGGCCTCACTGAGGTGTTATTTGTCTGTTCTGTTTCCACAAGCTAAATAAAGCTCCTGCCTTTTGTTTTCCATCTGCACGTGTCCACGTGGGATGTCAGGGCGTGCTCAGCACCAGGCCCACAACCTCCTCCTGGATGATAACTCAGATCCAGCTCTTCCGCAGCAAACCCTGTCCTTGAGCTGCTCCCTGAGGGCTGTGGCTGTTCCTCTGCCAGGCTGGAAGCAGCACTTCAAATGAGCAGTTTTGACCCAAAAATGAGATTAGGAAGGATTTCAATCCTCTCTTTCCCCCTCTGGTCCATGAGCTGACGCTCACACTGCAGTGCATGAAGGAGAGACAAATGTGTTCCGTCCTCTGAGAGCAGACAGGGATTGGGGGTTTAAGTCAAAACCAGCTGATTCCCACCAGCAAATCCCTTGGATTGCTGTCCCTTGGACTGGGAGCAAGTGTCCCACTCCCACAGCAGCCAGGCAGGAGGGAGGGTGGGATGAGAAGAGATGCCTCGACCCAGGCCCACAGCAAACCCCTCTGAGGGGCTGCAGGGTCAGGTTTTCATTCCAGTTTGGCACTCCTGGGGCCAAGATTCCCTTCAGTCCTCAGCAAGGAGCATCCAGGCAGGACCGTGGGTGGTGGAGGGGGATCCACTGCAGCCCCTTCCTCGCCAACCTCCTGCCCTTTTCTCCTTGCAGAGGCTGGAGCAGAGGACATGACTGTGTATGCCAAGGTTGGCCCTTACCAGCAGGTGAGTCCATGCAGGTTCATGTCCAGGAACGTGGCCAGACCAAGCTGTACAGCTCTGGGGTCTCTGCACACATGGGGACAACCCATGACAGGGCAGGGGGGGAAGGATGGCAGGTGGCAGCTCTGGGGTCTCTGCACGCATGGGGACAACCCATGGCAGGGCAGGGGGGGAAGGATGGCAGGTGGACAACCCCTGGCTTTGTCTGCTGGTTCCTTTGGAGAACTTCAGTGGGACCTCCCAGCACTGGGGTTGGCCCAAGAGCAGCTGCCATGGCCATGGTCACCTCCATGCACCTCTTGGGGCTTCCCCAGAGCTCTGTCCTCAGCCCCAAAGGTGGGAGGATCAACAAATCAGAGAAACATGGAATGGTTTGGCTTGGAAGGGACAGACTTTCTTTCCAGTGCCAACAGAAGGGTTGAAATTTATGTGTCTAACTTTTACATGATTAAACTGAGAGGTGACATCTTGGACAGCACTTCTGCAGAGCACAGTGGGAGGGGTGGATCACTGAGGGATCTCTGGCTTTGAGACCTCTTGGCCAATGCTGAGCCTTGCAAACTCTTCTAAACTCTCTTTCCCCAGATTAACACAACAAACAATGTCCCAAAGACAGTCCCAACCAAGGGTGTGGAGACCTCCAAAACCATCTATTTCACTGTCCAGGCTGTGGCCCAGGTGAGTTGGGGCTCATGGCTGTCACCCTAGAGGAGCTGGGCAAGACCACATGGTGTGAGGTGTAACCCCTGGAGCTCAGAGTGTGGACAGAGAGGTCTTCACTTTGCTTCTCGGGGTCCACAGCCTCAAACCAAGCCTGTAGGTCCCTCACCAAGGGAGGCATCAGCTCCCACGAGCCCAAGTGAAGCTTCTGACCTGTTGCCCTTGCAGACAGATGATGAGAAGATGGGCAATGTCATGCTGGAGGGACAGGAGCAGAAAAGTATCTACTCATCGATCAACTAGATGAACCCCACGAGCCATGAGACTGTCTGAGCATGGAGCTCCTCCCTGCCTGGCCCAGGGCTGCAATGTCCTCCCTTCCCTCATCACTTCTGCCTCCGATTCACCCTCAGCACTGAGTCCTGCATTGGTGCAAGGTGCCAGGGAGGATGTGAGTGCCCTGCAAACAGTCACACTCAGCTGGTGCAGGAGCTCTGCCCTTGGTTTTGGCATCCACGTTGGTTTGG